ACAAAAGTACCCTCCATCAACATGGACAGTAAAACTTTATCACTGTGATTCACTAGTTCAAAATCACTGCCCCGAGTTTTCTTGTATTGTCCAGTGCCGACATGCCATGGGGTTCTTGGCGATGGCGATGGCGATGGCGATGGCGATGACGGTAGGAGGAGGCGCGAGAATGAGCAGCTGTGGGAAGAGAAGAGAAGAGAAGAGAAGATGAAAAAAGGAGACAAGGGAGACAAGTTGGTAGAGGAGATAGAAAGACGAGGACTGAGAGGCTTGAGGTCGCCGAAGAGGCACAGACGCAAGTGATCGAGCATTGAGACGATCATGGCATGAGGCATCACACCAGCAGAGCAGGATGTTTGCTTGTCAGGAGGGTCATCGCAGAGGTTGACCGACCGAGAAGCAGCAAAAGCACCAGCAGCAGGAGGAGTGGCAGAGAGAGGCAGGGACAGGGGCAGGGACAGGGGCAGGGGAAGGGGCGTTGAATGCCAGGCAGATTGCAGCTCCAGTGCATGTGAGCTGCGCTGAGGGCATTGGAGCATTCAACGGGATCGGGGTGGTGACAGGCGACGAATGGTGAGGAGAGGCTGAGAGGAGGATTGCAGTCAAAGTGCATGGCAGGCTGTCGGAGCCCAACGACGACCCGGGCTTCGTGCAGAAGTGAGTCGAGAGTCGTTGCTGCTCACGGCGATTGAGGACGGGAATGTGCGGTAGGAAGATGATGAAGACGGAATATCGATGCCGCTTCTTCGACTCCTCGGTATCTCTCAGTGATCCTCGATGCCTTTCTCAACTCCTCCTCCTCCTTCTCCCCATTTCTCCTCTTTCTCCTGCCTCCTTCTCATCCCGGCACACTGCAGACGGAGTCAGACCTGGAGCACAAGCAGCTACGAGGGGAGGAGCCAGACCTCCCCGACTGGTACAAGCACATGCAGACCAAGTTCCGAGCACAGCAGGATGTAACTACCGCCTCCTGCTGCCTCCTCCCTCACCCGCCCGCCAGGGGAAATGGTGGGAGAAAGCTGCGATACCCAGCTACGTCGACCTGCTGGACTCGTATCGGTGAGAGAGGAGGAGGCGATGGTGGTCAGATAAGCGTGTGGTCAGCGCGGACCATCACAAGCACAAAGAGAGGCTGTGGCAACAGATCTGCGATAAGGTGAGGGAGGAGGGAGGAGGCGAGGGACAGGAGGAAGAGGATTGGAGGCGGAGGAAGGGACAAAGCGATTCGCTAAGCCTTGATTAGATGCAAAGTCTTATGGATGCGGGATGCGGTCATAACGTGCCGAGCTTCTCGGATACAAGAGATCAAATCTATGAGCTCATGAAAACAGTATCCTCTCTCCTCTTTCCCATTCCTCCTCCTCGTCGTTGCCCGAACTTGACCAAGTTCCAGAAAGATCAAAGTGCTGCCAAGTATGATGTCTTCGCAAAGATTGCAAACAACAGGCATCTCCTCTTCATGTCCATCCACCTTGACACTTACTCTCCTCGCTTTCTCCTCTCCTCCACCTGCTCCCCTCCCCACCTCTGTTTGCATTCTCTGCTCCTCTTCTCATTTTTGCACAGGATCCAACGCAAGCAAGAGCTCTTCGCTCGATGGGCGCAAGACGTCATATCGCTTGTTCTCATCTCCTCTACTCACGCCAGGAGCAGGCGCAGGATGGTCTAGTCCACTCGAGCGAATGTGACGAGGTCGAATGTCCTCCGCTAGCTCGGCTTGACAGCAGCGGCAGGAGGAAGAAGCCATCCTCCGCAAGATCAGGAAGCAGAAGATCAGGAAGCAGAAGAAGGAGCGAAGGAGGAAGGAGTTCGGTTCGCTTCTTCACATCTCTGCTATGTCCTTCAACCGAGAAGTTCTCAACGAAGGTAAAGAGCCTTTAACATTCCCTCCTCCTCCTCCCCCTCCTCCTCCTCCCCCTCATCCTCCTGCTCCTGCTCCTGCTCCTCCTAGACTTGTCTCGGCTTGTTTCCTGAGATCGCCTCAGGTCGCGACGTCTGGGTCTACGTGCTCTTGTACGATGATGGACGCGAGGACTGCATGTGATGGCAGAGAGGGGAAGAGTAGTTCTCATCCTCATCCTGGCAGATTCCTCCAAGACATCTTCAACGAGCTCGCTGCTTCCCTCCCGTCCGCCAAGTTCGTCAAGCTTCACTTCCTCCAGGCCCTCCCCGACCTCCACAAGGCAACGCCCGGCAAGGAGGAGCCGCTGCTGACACCGTGCCTGCTAGATGACGGAGCTCCCGACGATCCTCCTGTACCGTCACGGGCAGCTGCGGCATCGGCTCGCCGGCCTCCTCGACCTGGGAGGCCGATGCCTCGACGGGGGGGGACGTCTGATTTACCATGAGCATGGTGAGCTCGCCTCCTGCAGCTGCCCAGCTGAACATCTGAGCTGCAGGAGAGCTGGAAGAGCTGCGTGCCAATGCGATCGGCGTGCTGTTGAGACTGAGAGGTTTCCTCCCTCGCTCACTCCTCCTCCTTCCTCACCGTCTCCCTTCCCCCTTATCGTCTTCTTCTCTTCATCCTTACTCGTGACTCGCTATCACCAGATGAACATGCGACAGCAGCCAGTCGTGGTGAAGGAGAGGACGAGAGAGAGGAACGACGAGCTAGCAGGAAGTGGAGGTGGGGCGAGGACTCTAGCAGCGACGCCTGCTGATAGGCGAGCTCTCCTCCTCCGAGGCTCAGCTGAGATTCACTCTTAGGATGCTGGAAAAGTTTTGCCGGCAGACTGGACAAGAGCCGCGGGAGAGGGCGGAAGAGCAGCGGTAGCACAAGACCTGCCGGCTGTGAGCTTCTCCTCCCCTCCTCCTCGTGTACCTGGTGGGCACAGGGAAGGAATACTGCGTCCCTCGCCGCCTGCGATCAACTTTCAAACCCCCCCGTACGCACATGAGCAGGCGAACCTGACAGCAGACAATGCAGACCTGCTCCCAGTCGTCGCAATCCTGCTGGAATGCAAGACAGGATGAGAAAGCAGAAGAGCAATGAGAGAGGCACGGGGCGGAAAGAGGAAAGAAGCCAAGGCGAGAAGAAGAGAAGAGTGGGGAAGGGATGAATCACATTAGAGCTGTTGGACTGATCAGTGAGGCCATGAATGGCAAGACGACCTCGCTCTTGTTCTCTTCCGCTGCTTCCTCTCGCCTGCAGCAACTTGCAGTCAAGCATGTGTCGCCTCCTTCCTCGCCTGCCTGCTCGATCAGCTGCCGCCGCATCGTGCGATCTCGCATGTTGTTCAAGTACACTCGAACATGCTGGTGAACAGCGACGAGGAGGAGGAAGCTGCCAACGCTCACGAGCACAGTACCGAGACGGTTGAAGGTGGACGCCTCCTCCTGCACATGCGTGAGTGAAGAAGGAGGAGGAGCAGGAGGAGGAGGCAGGAGTCACCTGAAGCTGCTCGACTATCTCGCAGGGGTGTCGCTCGCTCACCATCAGCAACGGCTCCGCCAACTCCCCCGACTCATAAGGCTGCAGTGTCGCATGGCAGAGCCAGGCGGGAATGAGAGAGCGAGGGAGGAAGGAGAGGAGAGCAGGAGGAGTCAACATGAGCTCTCCTGCACTGATCGTCAGCTCGCATGCCAGGAAGTAACAGCAGCAGAGAAAGCGTGACTTGCCTATGGCTGAGACTTGACATCTAAGTGGTAGAGTTTTGAGAGTCTCCAAGCGCACCGCCCATCCTCTCTCAGCTTCTTCGACAGACAGGCGTGAGGCTGCCGACCTTCCTCCTATCCTGAGGTTCTCGTCCACCATCACTCGAGCTCTCTCGCCGCCGCCTTCAAGCTCCAAAGGCAACCACTCCCCTCCCTCTACTTCTTCGATCACACCATCTCCTAACCATCCTCCCATCGCTTGCCCGATCGTCCTCACTGTCCTCCATGCCAGCACGGCATCATCCCCCAGACCTCCCAGGCTTCTTCCTCCTGCCACTCTCCCCCTCAGCATCAGCAGCCCTGGCGTGGGTTGTGGCCAAGCAGCTCTGAGAATTTTGAGAGCCTCAGGGAGGGCCAGCAGAGGAGCGCGAGCGAGCGCCAAGGTCAGCGAGCGCAAGCGACGAGCATGGATGAGCAGGAGGCAGCCGCATATCCCCATGCCCGCGCCCACCAGCCCCAGCGGCAGCTCCGCCATCACCACCCCCGCCACCCCGGCCATATCGCACACACCCTACCCCCTTGTCGACCCATTTTGGTATGATCTTAGGGGTAGGGTAGGGACTAAGCCTAGTGAGCTAGTTGTCGGGCAGAACATGAAACAGTTTGAATCATCGTAGGAGAATCACGACGATGAAAGAAGCGTTGTGATCTCTGATGAGAGTGAAAGCATTTCATTTAGATCACCAACGTGTTGCTTGCTACTCCTGCCTGCCGAGGAATCTGTGAGACTGAGGATGTTGAACATCAGGCTCGTATCTGCCAGTGAGCTAGGTATTGAGCTCATTAAACTGTTGTTCATCTTCATCCTCTTTTCGGTGCTTAGATTTCTTTCCCATTGCAATCACCTTCAGCGCCTCCTTCACCACACGAGGGTAAAACCCATCCCAATCAGTACCGTCAATCAGCATGATCTCTATCAGCATCATATTCATCATCATCATCATCACCAGCAGCAGCAGCAGCAGCACCACCACCACCATCACCACCACCACCACCACCACCACCACCACCACCACCACCACCACCACCACCATCATCATCATCATCATCATCATCATCATCATCATCATCATCATCATCATCATCATCATCATCATCATCATCATCATCATCATCATCATCATCATCATCATCATCATCATCATCATCATCATCATCATCATCATCATCATCATCATCTCCGTCGTCGTCTTGTTCTTGAATCCCAGTCACATTCCTTCATAGGATCAACGTCCAGCGTTTGGCGTGCAGGCATGCAGCTGAAGCTAGAGAGAAAGGCTAAGGCTCTCAGGTCCATGCCCTTATCTTCGGTGTCGCTGAGATTCCCTCCTCGGCATCACTTGTCAAGCCCGAGCTCTACCAGTCTGTCTTTCACCTTATTCTTCTTGTATCGTCTTGACCAGCCCTGTCCTGTCCTGCTCTGACTCGTGTCTTCGTCGTGTGTGCCTCAGCTCTCATGGTTCTGCCGCTTTGCCTCTTCGCATCTCATCTCCTCTCCTCTCTTCCTCCTCTCCTCCTCTCCTCCTCTCCCCTCTCCTCCTCTCCTCCTCTCCCCCTCTCCTCCTCTCCTCCTCTCCTCCTCTCCTCCTCTCCTCCTCTCCTCCTCTCCTCCTCTCCTCCTCTCCCCCTCTCCCCCTCCTCTCCTCCTCTCCTCCTCTCCTCCTCTCCTCCTCTCCTCCTCTCCTCCTCTCCTCCTCTCCTCCTCTCCTCCTCTCCTCCTCTCCTCCTCTCCTCCATCACCATAAGGGATAGGGGCGGGATGGCGAGGTGCGGGGGATGAACTCGGTGTGGGCGGTGGTGGTGGTGGTGGGGGCGATGGCGATGGTGGTGCTGGTGGTGCAGCGATTCGGCCTGGTGCAATGCCGGAGGAAGAGGCTGGGGAACAAGAGCGAAGCTCCAGGGATCCGCGTAGAGAAAGAGACGCAAGAGGAGTGGAGTAGCTTATCCGAGGAGGGCATGTCGGGTGTCGAGAAGGAGAAGGAGAAGGAGGAGAAGACAGACATGGAGGTAGACGAAGGGGCTTCTGAATCCTCGCTGGTAGAACGACAGGAGCAGAGATTCACCAGGTTCCTTCCAGAGCGAACAAGAGAAGCCAAGTTGGAGGATGAGTTGACGTTGGCTGGAGTTGAGTTCTGTGACGACAGCGTGGATCGAGGCAACGGGGCTCCGAATGGGATCCATGAAGATGAAGATGACGTGGACGCCAACATGGTGGAGGAGGCAGACAAGGATGTTGACATGCCCGAAGCTTTTCATTTGCCTCTGCAGCTCCGCGGCTTTGGCAGCGACGTTGTGGTTTACCCCGGCTCTATCACTCACCTTCGGCCGCAAGGATTGAGGCAGCACTCCAAGAAGGAGGACCCGCGGCATGACAGGGAGAGGCAGAGAGGGAGGTCTAGACGGAAGCATCGCCCCTCATCCACTTCACAAGAGACGGAGACTGTCCCACCAGACACGAGCCAACACCAGCTCTCGTACCTCTCGCGCGAGGAGGAGGAGGAGTTCATGCAGTGGAAGCGAGAGAGGGGCAGCAGCGCTCGTCCCTCCAGTCCTACGCGAGCAATCCCTTCCTTCAACGCGCATGTGTTCAACAAGTTCATGCGGCACCAGCTCGACAAGGGAAGGACCAGGGGGACAATCTCACGCACTGAGGCTCGAACGCCTCGCGAGCAAGCGGCAGCGAAAGAAAAGCAGGGTCCAGCTGAAACTCGCCAGGAGGAGCAGAAGGTGCACATGTCCAGCAGCGTCAACACAGCATCGGACGTTGTGCCTGCCGTGCTGGTGATCGACATGAAGAAGAAGCTGCGAGGCCTCGCGGCTCCTCCTACCCGGAGATCCGCCAACGCCTCTCCTTCCCGCCTGTCTCACGCGGACGAGACTTGCAGCCCAAAGTTTCTGGCTGTGGTGGACGACTGCCTGCGCATGAAGGCGAAGAAGAGCTTCTCCAGGGCAGAGGCCCTACGTCTGCGAGGAGACTCGCTAGCGGAAATTTCTTTGAGCTTCAGGGACTAATGAACTAACAGTTGTCAGTGGCAATCACTCAGGCTCCAAGTCACCGGCCCTGTTAGCACTGTGATGCCACCGTGAGTCGGCGGCCGCTAACACAAGTCGAAGATAGAACAGCATGATATTCAGTTCCATGTATTGTTGTACAGTACAGACAAGTACAGGATTACTACATTGCGACGAACAGAGACGAGGAGGACAGGTGTCTCGATGCTACTAGGCTAGATATAGGCTTAGCGTTGCCTGGTCACAAATCTGTGTCATCCTCTCCTCCAGTTCAGATACAATACGTCATTGTCAACAACAGTAAAACACATTGCATAGTGTACGGTACGCGCCTGAGGCATGCTGATAGAGGTTTGGGAATGGATTTAGGGTTGGGCATACTAGGCTAGACGGGTCGTGACGGTGCCGTCGATTGGTTGGTTGCCATGATTCTTCTTTGTATCAAACTTTTGGGACTGTATTTGCCAGGCTGTTCCATAGACGGTGCAACTTGTAAACGTTACGAGGCTCAGTAACCTAACACAAGTTGTCGGAAAATAGTTTCAGGCTCGATGCTAGCAGGCCGCTGGCCGGGCGCCCGGCCGACTCGGTCCGATTCCACTGGCATGATCAGCTCGAGTAGAGTCAGTGACTTCTTAAGTACGAGTCAGTCACTGTCGGACTGAGGGCCCGGGCCTCGGAGAGTACTACGGTAGAGTCGGCCGGGCGGGCCTCGGAGAGTAGAGTCGGCCGGGCCGGGCGGGCCTGGCCGGCCCGTCGGACTCGGACTCCGACGTGGGGGCCTGGCCGTTACTTGAGCAATAGTCGCTGGCACCATTGCAAGCCTCTATAGCTCAGTTGGTCAGAGCGCACGCTTAGTAAGCGTGAGGTCGCGTGTTCGAGCCCCGCTAGAGGCACAAGCACTGTTTTATCCCCGTCACCTTTTTACTATGCCAAGAACATTAGGAGGAGGAGGAGGAGGAGGAGGAGGAGGAGGAGGAGGAGGAGAGTTTCTTGGATTGATGATATTCTGACAACTCTCCTCGTAGATGAGGACTTTTTCTCTCCTTCTCTTCAGCTTCTCTCTCCTCCATCGCTCTCATGGCTTCCTCTCACCATGTGAAGCTTCATGATACCTCTTTTCTTCCTTACACTGGCTTCAGATGTTTCCCCCTCTCACTCCTCTAGAATAGCGAGCTGCCACCAGCGCTGCTCTCTTCTTCTCTCATGCTCGAAGCGAAAATCTTGCACGCCGTTCCGAATGACTCTCTCCGGGGTGACGTCAGGTATGAGAGGTGAACACGCGCGCTGTTGCTCACGAAGTAGCAGAGAAAATCCCTTCTTCCTTCATCGAGAGGTGAAACTGCTGCCCTCCCTCCCTCACTCACTCACTCACTCACTCACTCACTCACTCACTCACTCACTCACTCACTCACTCACTCACTCACTCA